GCAGCATCAGCTCACACCTCTGTCCCTCAGCTCGTCCCCCCTCCTCCAGCAGCCCCCCACTTACTAGAGGAGTTGGGGAAGGTGGCGGTGGGAGGACCACACTGGCGGTCGCTGTGCGGCGTGCAGGGAGCCTGCTCCACTTCGCCCTCGGGACACCTGGGAAAGGGGGAGACGAGGCAGACTCAGGGGCTGGGACTCCCGGCACAGATCCCGGTGGGACCCGCCGTGTCACCCAGCTCACCGGGGCCGGCACTTCTGGCACATCTCGCAGGGGTGGTCCGGGGAGCAGAAGGTGCCGTTCCTGCAGGCGCACTGCGTGTCGCTGATGGCTCTGCAGGGACTCAGCTCCACTTGATCTGCGGGCGAGAAGAGAGGCGGCTCTACCCCAGCCCCTCCGCGCCATGCTCCTCCACCCGCTTCCTTCATTAACACGGCTAACGACCCGAGCTGACCCATAAGCCTGGGGAATACCAAGTCACTCTCTGCTGTGGAGTTTCAGCCTTACCCTTTCCAGCCCCACACCTCACCATGCCCAAGAGAAAAGCAATGCTCGCATCAAAGCTCCACCAGCAGCCTACAACGCCACCGTGAACCCAGTCCTCCTGGTCCTTCTGGATGGAGGTCTCGTGTCCAAACTTTGCGCAAGGGATGCTGCATTGAACGGAGACGTAGGTCTGGCACAAGCTGCTACACCAATTCCAGACCCAGCCTGCTCCCCGCAGGAGCCACTCTTTGGGGACGCTGCAGGTGACCGTGCTCTTAAATAGAGAGGTCTCTGGTCAGCTGAACCCAGCCGATGCTATCAGCCAGCATCGCCCTCTTACACACCAGCTCATACCTTCCCGACACGTCCGGCAGCCAAGGCACTTGGTAAAGTCATTTGGGTATTCGATGTATTCATCTTCTTTACATGGCAAACACTTGCTGGAGCCATTTTGCTCTTTACAGGGCTCTGCAACGTAGGTGCCTGCAAGAAGGGGTGGTTGGGGAAGAAGGGGAGAAAGAAAGGGTGTATCTGTGAACATAAAGCACAGGATGGAGATCTCTTTGCAGAGAGGGAGTTGATTCCACTGCCAGTGAAGTTAGGAGGCAAATTAGGAACCATCAAAAGGGAAATGTTCCCATAATGAGTCCTTAGATCTCAAGACAGCAGAGCAGGGGAGAGCTGGAGCACCCACTGCCTCCTCGCAAGGAGCAAGGACACACGGGTTTTGCAGACAGAAACATGGCGAGGCTGCACATGGCGTGATCAATGTTTGAGACCATCTTACCCGCGGGGCACTTCTTGCAATAGCGATCGCTGTCTTGGACTTGGTAAAACTCCTCCCCTCCCCTGCTTGGGTCCAAGGGATCCAATTTGTCCCTCCTATCCAGTGCTGCTGCAGCAGTTCCCAAAGCAGCCTCCTGTTAAAAAAATACAGAAAAACCTGGGTTGAAAACCACCCCAAGTCCACGGGGCAAGGGAAGAAAGAGAAGGGCAAGAGCTGCTCTGCCCAGTGTGCTCAGGCGAAGCAGGAGAGGACCGCTGGGTCGGCTCAGAGCCGCTGGACGCAGCGGCCAAACCTCCCCTTGATGCAGGTGAAGGGCAGTTCCCTCGTACCAGGGTGGTTATTTCCTTGGCGAAGCATAAGGAGGAGGTTTGCAGAGGGATTCCTGTGTGCCAGGTTATCAGCAAGGCAAAGGCTCGCTAACGCTTCCTTAGGATAACATCAGGTCCCCCTTCCTTCCCCAATTTCTGAGAGCATGAACCAACAGCACCAAAGAAAATGGAAGGGTAGGGAAGAGGAACAGGGAGGGCGTTTGTGGGGAGGAAACCAGCCCCGTGTCAAGGCTGGTACGTGGCTCCCGTGCCCACAAGAAACACCCTGGCTGCTCCAGGCTCCCAGGGGACAGCACGGCCTCCAGCGTTTCCGCATTATCCCCGTTATCATGCTGCGGATCGGGAAGCCAACGGCTCCGTTTCCGTCAGCTCACCGTGCACCTTTCTGCTGGCTCAGCTCTTTCTGTACTGGCTGGGTCGCTCCAGCTGCAGGGGACAATGCTCGACAGGAACGGCCACTCGCCCCATCAGGGTTTGGGGAGCCTTTGGGCACCCCAAGTCCCTGCGGGGGACAGTGCCCTTGGCATCTCAACCAGCACAGGGCACAGCTGCTGCGTGGATATAAATGGATATAAACCTGCCCTGGGTTTTAGGGAGGGATGATGCCCTGCCATGCTGTGTGCTGCACAGCAGTGACAGTCTGGCAGAGGCACTTTCCCCTTTCCCTCCCGTACACCGGGCATGAAACCTGCCTCTTAAAGCAAATATTTCTTCTGTGAGTCAGAAGCTGCCTTGAAAGGCTGAAACAATAGAGACGCGAGCCGTCCCTTGAGCCAGCCTGGCCATCTACAGAGCGGATCCCCCCCTCCTCCTCCCCGGACACTTCCCGCGCTTGTACACGGAAGGGTGTGAGCACCGAAACCGGCCGCAGCAGGTCCAACGGTCACGGGGCTGCAGAGGGTGACGTAGACCCACAAACAACACTGCTGAGACCGGCCAGGTCACGGAGAGGGTGATCCCTCACTGCCACCATGGCACAGACCCCCCGAGCCCCGGCCAGCCCGGGAACGGGGCCATCTTCAGACCCTGACTTGGAGGAATCAACTCCACATCCCTCCAATGGCTGCTGGCTCCGCATCTCCCGCTGCTGCTTTCTCCAGCTGGGAGGGTTTGCAAGTTTATAAAGTGCTTTTCTATCCAGCTTAGAAGATAAGTCTTGCTTTTACCTCCCAGCCACAAGCAGCTCTCAGGGCTTTACCCACTCTGGTCTTGAAAGTCTTCAGGGACTGAGATTGGGCAACCTGTCCCACTGCCTCACTGTCCCCCTGAAGGAATAAAAAAAGTCTTTCTTCCCCATTCAAACTCTGCCAGGCCATGAAGGTGATCAGAGCAACAACAGAGTGTTATCTGCTGTTTGGAAAGGCCCCTTAGGCATAGGATTTCATTGCTTTTCATGAAATAGCGACTCAGCAGAGCTTGCACAAGTGCACGATAAGGTTATCAGCCCACACCACCTTCCCCAGCAAGTGCAGTTCAAGTACATCAGCCCACCACAGAGCCCTTGGCAGGCGAGGGCTGCCATCCCTGACTAACCTATCAGTCTTGTAAAGCACGAGGAGAAACCAGGCTGGGAGCCGTGGGCGAGACGCAATGGTATTCAAGAGTAGTTTTCACCCACAGTAAACATCCCAAGAAAGCAACGTTGCCTCAAGGCAGAGGAATTACCAGGCACAGGAATCCCCAATCCCCTCATCAGCTAAAAGCCTCTTCCTTCTAGAAAAAAAGCTCTGGGAAGTATTAAGCTTTGAACTTTCCCTTCTTCCATCCCCAACTTGTTTTTCTCCTGAAGTGATCCCAAGGAAGGAGTTGGACCCTACGGCAGAAGGCAGACCCCTCGCTGAACTCCTGACCATCCATGGACATCCACGCAGCATTAATACACGGCCCTTGATTGTAGCAAAAGAGGCTCTTAGCCAACAGTGTTAAGGACCAGGGATAAAAGAGATGCCAAGCAGACACCCAACATGCCTCTACTCCAAGGGCACGGGTCTGACGAACGCGGGGGTTTCCCCCCAAGACTTTCTGCGGATGGAATCTGAAGTTCCCGCAAACAGAGAGATCCAGCGTCATTCCTCCTCGGGAGCCCGTGGCCCAGGTCCAGGCATGATGCAACAAGCATTGGTGAGCAGAGGAAGGAACTGTAGCCACAATATCATACGATTATCACGTGGGGCATCACCAGTCCTGATCGGTTCCCCCTCACCTTTTCTTTTATTAAAAAGGAAAAAAAAAAAAAAAAGTAAAAAAAAGAGGCTGTTAAGAACGTGCCCTTAGGTGATGGGTTTAGTAAGGCTTGACTTCATCAGGCAAGTCTAAATAAACTCTCATAAACACTATAGGGAAGGAACTGGATGAGAAGCCAAACTCTCTTTTAAAACCTGTTACGGGCAGTGCTGATTTCAGCGACAGCAATTCCAGCGCGGGAGCAGCAACCACGTGTCCTGGGGCCGTGGCTCCGCTGGGCTCCCTCGCGGCCAGGGATTGCAGGCCAGCCCCGGGATAAAACTCAGGGCAGGATCCCTGGGATAAAACTCAGGGCAGGATCTCACTGACTTCAGGTGAGACGAGACTTTAGGTATTTCCGAGCTCTCTAGCAACGCCCAATCCATGGAGAAATATGATACGCCCAGGTGGGATTTTCTGTCCTAAAAGCCAGCGGCGCTAAGGG